CCTAGAAGTCCTAGAAGCCTGTGGGCTTTGGAGCCCAGGAGCAAGATCTGGGCTCAGACAGAGCTCAGAAGCTGTAATCTGTATGGAGTAAGAGAAGACGTGGGTGGAAAAAAAAAGTTGCTTCATGTGGCAGTTTGTATTTTCCAAAGATGCTGCACCCCACATGCCCACATGAACTTCTCTTTTTTAAAAACTTAATTAATTATATATTTATTTATGGCTGCACTGGGTCTTCACTACTGCACACAGGCTTTCTCCAGTTGAGGTGGGTGGGGGCTACTCTTTGTTTCAGTGTTCTGGCTTCTCATTGCTGTGGCTTCTCTTGTTGCGGAGTATGGGCTCTAGGGTGTGTGGGCTTCAATAGTTGCAGCATGTGGATTGTAGAGCTCAGGCTCACTAGTTGTGGCGCCTGGGCTTAGTTGCCCCATGGTATGTGGAATCTTCCCAGACCAGGGATCAAACCTGCGTCCCTGGCATTGGCAGGTGGATTCCTATCTACTTCATCACCAGGAAAGTCCCTGAACTTCTTAGTTTATGATTTTGACACTTCTATCAAGAGGTGAAGTTCTGGTTTCCTTCCCATTGGTTCTAAGCAGATTTGTGATTACAGTGGAAGGGATACGAAATGATGATGTATTAAGCTAGATCATAAAAGATGATACCGGTTCTACTTGGTTCCCTGGAGAACCTTTACTGGGGACCTGAGTCGTCACATAAACAATCTGATTGCCCTGTATTTTTTATTTATTTTTTTGTAGTTATCATTTTGGCCATATAGGACCCTAGTTCCCCAACCAGAGATCAAACCCACGCCCCCTGCATTGGAAGCACAGAGTTCTAACCATTGGCCTACCACAGGAGTCCCTGACTGCCTTGTATTAATTATCTGTTGCTGTGTGACAAATTACCCTCACAATATAGCAGTTCAAAACAATAAATATTTATTATCTCAAACGGTTTCTTTGGGTCGGGAATCTTGGAGAAGCTGAGTTAGCTGGTTCTGGTTCAGGGTTGCTCATGTAGTTGTGGTCAAGATATTGCCCAGTGGTCCAGTGGTCAGGCACCACACTTTCACTGGCAAGGACTTAGTTTCAATCCCTGGTCAGGGTACTAAGATCCCAAAAGCTGCATGGTATGGACATTTAAGAAAAAAAAAATGTTGCCTGAAACTACAGCCATACGAAGTCTTGACTAATGCTGGAGACTCCACTTCCAGGGTGGCTGTCTCACATGCCTGGCAAGTTAGTGCTGGGTGTTAATAGGAAGTCTCAGTTTCTCACGAAGAGGACCCCTCCCTCGGGCTGCTTGGGTGTCTTCATAACATGGCAGCTGACTTCACCCAGAGTCAGTGATCTAAGAGGGAGCAAAATGGAAGGCACAATATGCTAATGACATTCTCCAGAGTCATAAACCATCATATCTGCATTATCCCATTGGGCCAGGTCAGCCCTATTTAGGGTGGGAAGAAATTACACAACGTTATGTATACCAGGAGGTGGAAATCCTGGAAGACAGTTTTGGAAACTGGTTGCTGTGGCCTGGAGTCTGCCATGCTATGAGGAAGCCCAAACCAGCCCCTGTGGAGGTGTGGCTACATGGATTCACGGAGAGTCCCTGAGGTTACACGAAGGGGAAGGGGCATAAGTCTTCAGGGGCTCAGTGCTAAAGAATCCCCCTGCCAGGGCAGGGGACACAGGCCGGGAAGATGGATCCCACATGCCGCAGAGCAACTAAGCCCTTGAGCCAGAACTACTCAGCCTGTGTTCTAGAGCCCTCGCATCACAGTTACTGAAGCCTGTGAGCCTAGAGCCCATGCAACAAGAGAAGCCGCCATGAGAACCCCTCACACTGCAACTAGAGAGTGTAGAGTATAGTTCGGGGGAGGCAGAAAAGGAAAGACGACCTCAACAGAAGTAGGTTACCTTTATTCAGGCAAGGAGGGGCAACAGACAGCCTAACGACCAGGCTGAGTGCCAGAGGGATCAGGGAGGCTTCATACTTATAGGGAGGTTTGTGGAAGCGATAAGGGAAACGTCAATCAGGCGGGATTTTTTGAGTATTCTTCTGTTGAGATGACATTTGTAGTTGGGCAGGGGGTGATAAGTCTTCTGGGCGGGTGTAGGGGGTGGAAGGTTTCCGGACAGGGGGTGATAAGTCCCAGATAGATGCAACCGGCCTGGAGCATCAGGGTGCAACTAAAGTTATGCTTTGTTTTCTCCGAAGTTAGATGATTCAGCAAGGGGCCTTTGAGACTGTTGTTCTCTTTTCTAGGCCCAAAAGACTCCTTCAGAGGGTAGCCTCCATTTGCCGAAACTAGAAGGAAAGCCCACATACAGTAACAAAGACCCAGCACAGCCAAAAACAAAGAAGAGAGAAGTCAAGTTATCAGCCTCCCATTGCTCCAATACTAGTCATCATCTGACTGCAGTTATGTGAGCCAGTACTGCCAAGGCAAAATTCTCATATCGAATTCCTAACCCTTAAAAACTGAGAGAAAATAAAAAGGTTGTTTTTTTCTTCAGTCATTATTTTTGTGGTAATTTGTTGAACAGCAGTAAGCCCTCAATGAGTCCTAACTTCCTGTATTTATATCCTTCTGGAGTCTCTTCCCACACTGAACAGAGCTGACCTGACCCAATAAGATAAATGACAACATGTGACTTTCAAGGCTGAGTCATAAAGATACTGTGGTTTCTACCTTACTCCCTCTCAGATCACTCATTTGGGAAGAAGTCAGCCATGAATAATAGGAACATGCCAGAAAAATGTGGAAAGAGCTGAGAAACTGGCCTAAGTCATAGTGTTCTGTACTAGATTCCTATTGCTGCTGTAACAAATTACCACAAACTTAGTAGCTTAAAACTACGTGAACTTATTATCTTACAGTCCTGGAGTTCAGAAGTCTGGCATGGGTCTCATTGAGCTAAAATCAGGATGGCAATAGTTCCTTTCTGGGGAAGTCCCTGCAGGTCCAATGATTAGGACTCTGCCAGTGGTCAGGACTCTGCACTTCCACTTTGGGAGCAGGGGTTTGGTCCCTGGTTAGGGAACTAGGATCCTGCAAGCCATATTGTGAAGCAAAAAAAAAAAAAAAGAAAACTTCCTCTCTGCAGGCTCTAGGGGAGAATCCATTTCTTTAATTTTTCCTGCTACTAGAGACCACCCACATTCCCTAGCTCACTCCCCTTTCCTCCATCTTCAAGGCCAGCAACATCGCATCTCTTTTTGCTTTTCTTCAGTAGTCACACCTCCTTCTGACTCTTCCGCTGCTCTCACTCTTAAGGACCCTTGTGATGACATTGGACCCATAGGATAATGTGTTTTAAAATCAGAAGATTAGTAGCCTTCATTCCATCTGCAACCTTAATTCCCGTTTGCCATGTAAACTAACATGTCCACAGGTCCCAGGAATTAGGGCACTGACATCTTTGGGAGCCTGGAGAAGGGAATAGCAACCCATTCCAGTATTCTTGCCTGGAGAATTCCATGGACAGAAGAGCCTGGAGAGCTACAGTCCATGGGATCACATAGAGTCAGACATGATCGAGTAACTAATACACACACCACACACACATACACACACACACACATCTTTAAGAGCCATTATTCCACTGACCACATTGTCTGCAAGAAGAGAAGTGGGCCTGAGAAGCAACAGCCAGGGAGGGAGGAGGGCGGTTTAGAAGAGTGAAATATAACAAAAGCCAGAGGAAGACAGGGTTCCCAGGAAGGATTAATATTGTTGGGAAGTCAAGCATGATAAGAACTGAAAAATATTCGTTGAATTTAGCTTCCTGGTGATACAAGTTATCTGGGGAGTACTGGGGGCAGGAGCTAGTTTATGTTGTGTTGGGCAGCAAGGAAGATGTAAGGAAGAAAGGCTGAGAGTGTAAAATCTTCTGAAAAAAAAAAACAAAAAAAACAAAAAACTTGTAAAGGGGTAATTATTGCAGCTTCTAAAATGGGGGGAAAGTTTCAATGCAAATGGAAGGAAAGGGAGGTATAGGTGAGGGTGTGTGTGTGTGTGTGTGTGTGTGTGTGTGTGTGCTCAGTCGTGTCCAACTCTTTGCGACATGTAGCCTGCTAGGCTCCTCTATCCTATGGAATTTTCCAGGTAATGATACTGGAACAGGCTGCCATTTCCTACTGCAGAGGATCTTCCCGACCCAGGGATGGAATTCGCGTCTTTGGCACCTCCTGCATCGGCAGGCAGATTGTTTACCACTGCGCCACCCGGAAAGCCTATCCCGGGTGAGATGGCTCGTCAATAAACGCTGTGTGTGAAAGGGAGAGTTCAGCTAGCCCAATCAAAGGGTTCGAATGGAGGGACTGTTGGGTTGATCCGGGCTCAGGTTTCGCCAGGTGGCGCCACAATAGAACAGAGGTTAGGATACTGTCCAGGATACGGCGAAGCTGATGGAGCTGGGAATATAGGAGAGAGACGTAGAGGTCGGCCAGCAGGAGGCGCTGGTGCAGCAGGAGGGAATGGCTGGAGAAACTAGGCGGATTGGAGGCTATACTGTCGAGATAATTTTAGGGAAAACGCTTGGTTCTTGATCAGATCGCAGTATGCCCTGGATTCCCTGATCCGATGGTCTCTAGTTCCAGGATTCTCCAAAGTTAAAACAGGGCTTGGACTAGAGTAAACACTATATATTGTTAGCCCGATTAATATAATTTGTAAAACTCCGGAGATTCCATTACCCTTGAGGCCCTGCAGCCGCCCGGACTACAATTCCCATCATGCCTGGCAGGCCGTCAAATCCATAAATACCCATGCCCCCTGAATCGTTTTTCCAGTCCCAGCATTCCTCAATTGTTTTCCTACCGCGGCAGCACGCTTGCCAAATCATAGGAACAACCAATTAGATCAGGGAGTGGGAGACCAGCAGGCCAATCGTTCAGTTAGAGGGGCGGGAGCGGGCGAGGTCAAATCTGGCCCCGCCCCTGCCCCGTGGCCAGTTCGTTTCCGGCTGAGGCTTCGGGCGGGACCAGAAGACATGGGCACTACCTGGCGGAGTCCGGGGTGGGTGCGGCTCGCGCTCTGCCTCGCGGGTTTAGTGCTCTCTCTCTACGCGCTGCACGTTAAGGCGGCGCGCGCCCGGGACCGGGATTACCGCGCGCTCTGCGACGTGGGCACCGCCATCAGCTGTTCGCGCGTCTTCTCCTCCAGGTGCACGGAGAGTGGAGGGCTTGGGGGACCGCTGCTCGTGGGAGCGGTGCATGGGGTCCAGGTTTGCATGGCAGCCAGGCTGCCAGATCAATCGGGGGTTGGGTTTCCCGAGGAGCGGACGCGTGGGACCAGGCTGCTCAAGGGAGCATTGCCTGGAGAAACGAGTGTGTCCAAGATAGGAGTGTGGAGCTAAGGGGGCAGATAGTGCTGGGGACTGGGATTATTCGAGGGGATGCATGTGAATCCTGATGACAAGGAATAACAGTGACCGGGCAGGACACAGGGAGATGGGGTCGAGTGTAGGAACTGATTATGGTCTTAAGGATGGGCGTGCCTGGCGACAAGGTGGCCAGGTCTGGTTATGCTTGAGGATACAGAGTTTGTGGGATGACCTGAGACAGAAGAAGGGGGAGGTTGCCGGGGCCGCTGGAGATTTAGGGGTCCAAGGCAGAGAGATTCTGTCCTGGTTTCCCAGTCTCTGGTAACTCTGTGAAATAAAATGAAGGGTTATACGCACCTTACCATCATAGGATTTATTGAAAGCCTAGGATGAAAAGAAGAGACCATGGGAGAGCCATGGCCAGGCCTGATCTGGGGATGGGGGAGGATAGGGGCTGTGACATGGAATCCTGCCTTGGCCAAAGAAAGGCTATGCTCCGAGGTCACTGACCCTTGGACTCATGTAGGGGTTGGGGGGAGGGTGAGATGGGGAAGGACAGCCCAGCTGGCTTCTTGGAAACAACCCTCCCAGGATAGGGCTCAGGGTACTGGGTTGACACTCCTAACTTAGACACCCCCCCCCACCAGGTGGGGCCGTGGCTTCGGACTGGTGGAACACGTGCTGGGCAAAGACAGTGTCCTCAATCAATCCAACAGCATATTTGGTTGCATCTTCTACACACTGCAGTTGTTGTTAGGTGAGTGGCCTTACCCTCTCGTGACAGTCTCCTTCCCCTCTTGGCCAGCCCAGCCTGAACTCTTGCAGTCTTGGTGACCCAGATGGCCAACTAAATGTGCATCACTGAGCACCAAGGAGGTGGGAACTTACAGGAGTCTTTACTGTCAGAACCAGAGGGCCCTTAGAGACTTCCCAGGAGCCCGGTTTTCTAGAACAGACTCCTTTCTAGGGGAAGCCCAAGGGTTGCTGTCTCTCATCTCATGTAGAGCTCAGCAGGAAAATTCACTATTTTGGTCCCAGGGATCGTTGAACACGTAGGAGAACCAGGGTCTTGGTGGGGCCTGTCTGAGCTGCTCATTTTAGAGGCTCTTTCCCCAGTAGCCCCTGCTGTCTGGGTGGCACCATGGAGTCATGGCATGTTCTAGTAGTGGCCAGTTCCCAAAGCCTGCGTCTGCCCCTTTCTGCCTTACAGGTTGCCTGCAGAGCCGCTGGGCATCTGTTCTACTGAGGTTGAGTTCCTTGGTGTCTCTAGCTGGTTCTGTGTACCTGGCCTGGATCCTGTTCTTCGTGCTCTACGATTTCTGCATCGTTTGCATCACTACTTATGCCATCAATGTGGGCCTGATGGTGCTCAGTTTCCGGGAGGTCCAGGGACCCCAGGGCAAGGTCAAGGAGCACTGAGTCCTCACCCCAAGCCAGAGTGACCTTTGCCCAAGAAGGCCACATCTGGGTTCTTGGAAGAGTCTGCAAGTTCCCCCCACCATACTCCCCACACAGGACAATGGACCAAACATGCCACACTGTTTCCTCCACCTTAGTGCCTCTGTTTCTGTTCCCAATGGCTGATTTCCAGAGCTCCTACTGTTGCTCAAGGAGGGAAGGTTCGGAGCAATAAAATTTCTTAAATGGCCAAATCTGAGCCATCTGTCTGCCAGGGACCTTAGTGTTTGGCTTCCCCTGATCTTTCCTCCTCTGGGACTGGAAGATATGAGTCAGAGGGAGAGTGGAGGGCCTGCCTGGGAAGGGTGGTTAGTCCCTTCTCCAGTATGTGGAGTCAGCAAAACCTGGGGCACCATCAGCCCCCACCCCCAGGAAACAGGCTGGTAGTCTTCTGTGCCTGCTACCCACAGAAGACAGGCCTCATCTTCTGGGGCAGCCAGGTATGTGCTTGCAAGGGCGAGCTGACTTTCTGGTTCTGTGCAGACGTGCCTGGAAGTTCTTCCTGTAGTCTAACCTTAACCCCTCCAGCTGCCTTATCTACCACTAGAAGCCAGTCTTGATAACCCTGGAAGGAAAGGGACAGGCTGTGTTTTTGTTTTTCCTAATGTATACTAAGTACTTATCCACATGCAAAGCACTGTTTAAGAAACATGCCATCTGTCAACTCATTTAATCCCTATAGCAATTTATGAGGTAGGTATTATTACAGTCATCCCTTGGTATCCATAGGAGATTGGTTCCAAGACCCACCCCACTTCCCAAACCAAAATCCAAGGATGCTCAAGTTCCTTATATTAAATGGCGTCGGGAAGTCCCTGGCAGTCAGTGGTTAGGACTCCAGGCCTTCACTGCTGTGGGCCAGGGTTCAGTCTCTAGTCAGGGAACTAATTAAGATCCAACAAGCCATACAGTACACCAAAAAAATAAATAAAATGGTGTAGTATTTGCACATAACATATACACATCTTCCCATATACTTTAAGATATACTTTTAAGTCATCTCTAGATTACTTATAACATCTAATATAATGTAAATAGTTGTAAATACAATGTAAATGCTAGGTAACTAGTTACTGGCAAGCAGTACACTCAAGTTCTGTTTTTTGGAACTTTCTGGATTTTTTTTTTTTTTTGATCTGCAGTCGGTCGACTCTGCAGATGTGGAACCTGTGGATAAAGAGAGCTGACTGTATGTCTTGAGGAGGAGACTTGAGGTTCAGAGAGGCTAAGTAATTTGCCTAAGATCACACAGCTAGTTTGGGGGAGGGGTTAGGAAGCCCTCAGGATTTGAATCTACCAGGTCCATATTAGTTCCATTGTCTGTTTTAAACCCAAGCCACAGCTGCCTCTGAGTTGGGGCCATGGTTCCTAAAGAGTCTGGGCTGGTCTGAGTTAGAAAAAGGATTCACCCTGAGTATTCTTGCCTCCTGATTGAGTTTTCCAAAATCCAAGGATGCTCAAGCCCCTTAATGTTCTAGGGAATTCCCTGGTGGTCCAGTGGTTAGGACTCTACACCTTCACTGCCGTGGGCCAGGGTCCCATCCCTTGTTGGAGAGCTAAGACCCCACAAGCTGCACAATGCAGCCAAAAAATAAAATGGTGGGGGAGGTGGGCCCCACATAACCCTGGTTTCCCAGGAAGGTGGCAGAAAGGCATTGCAATTTGCTAGCTTCAGCCAGCAAGAAGCAGAGAGCCTGACCTCTTGACACCCAGTCTAGCACATGCTGCCTCTGAAGCAAGATGGGAGAAGGTATGTGAAACCCACTTGGATCCAGGCCTAGGAGAGAGGTGGGAAAGGCCTGCCTACTGTGCTCTTCACCTGTACCAGCTCCCCTGCTGGGAGCAAGTTCACTCTGCCAGACTGCGGTAAAGGCATTTTTACATCCAACAGCTCTGAGCTTTTCAGACAAGGCATGAGGAGCTAACTGTCCAAAGTCATTCACGTGTTAGGGGGATCTAGGATGTGAACCCAGGCAGTGAGGCCACGGCTGAGGCCCAGGGAGAGGTGATGAATAGCCCAGGGTCACACAGCCACAGCCACAGCCCCAGAGCAAGAAACTGCTGGCCCCCTTCCAGCCCAGCAAAAGCAATGACACCTGACTCCTAGCAAATTGGGCGTGGAGCAGAGGTGGAGCTAGGGAGACCCAGGTGGCCTCTCTTGAGAACCAGAGCACAGGCGGCAGATTGACCTGGAGCAGCATGAAGCAGAGCTGGGGACTGAAGCTGTTCTTCCTGGGAGCCGTGGTCCTCATAGAGGGTGAGTCACCCGGGTTTGAGGGGGGGGTCACGGTGATGGTTTGGGGGCTGTCCTCTGCCGGAGCAGCCCCTGAAGCTGGGTGTGTGGGAGGGAGCCTGCCTGGGGGGGTGACAGTCAGCCTGTGGCAACGTAACTGTGTCCGGGTTTGTGTGTGGGGGACACGTATGTGGCCGCCTGTGTCCAGATGGGTGTGATTTCCTTGGACTGTATTATAATCTGCATCTGCAGAACTGTCATTATGCCTGTGTGTGTACCCTGTGCCCTCACTGGCCTCTCTCCTTCCACAATAGCTTTAGGCAAGCTCTGGGGCCCTTTGGTCTGTCTCCCGTCTTTACATACATCCCATCTCTCCCATGTTTAATGGGTGTGTTTGTGTGTGCCTGTGATGGAGAAGAGGCAGGGCAGGGGACCCTTTGGTAGAGTCTCTTTCTAAAAAGACGGGGGAGGCCGAGTCGTCAGAATAGGGGTGGGGTGAGTCTCAACTCCTGACGCCCTCCGCAACTTGGACATGACGCAGGCCTCTAATCCTTCCTCTTAGGCCTCCACAGCCCAGGGCACAATTAAGCTAATGCTCTCCACAGGCACAGGCTGCTCCCTGACTCAGCGGTAGGGGCAGGAGTTGGGGGTTCTGAAGCCTGGAGGAGGGTTGGCCTGGTCCCAAGCTGAACCCCAGGCCCCGCCACTCAATGCCCAGGAGTGCTGAGCACAGCACTGGGAGAGGAGAATTAATGACTGAGTGTACACTCTGAATAGCTTCCAATAAAAGCTGTTTCTTGACCTCATGTAAATATTTTCATTCTGGGAGGGGCCGGTGCGGTAGCCACAGACAGAGTCATAGCAAGGACCCCAGGCCAGTCCCCCCAAAACATGTCCCCTCCACCAAGGCTGGGCTGGGCAGGTCCCCTCCCCCAAGGCTCACCTGCGTTTCTCTTCCCAGGTCTTCAAGCAGCTCAGCGTGGTAAGTTCTGGGGCTATGGGGCCTGGGCCTTACTTGGGTCTGGGTCGTGCTGGGGGTGAGGGCAAGCCAGGGGCCTGCTGTCAGCTGATTCATGTCCCTCCACAGCATGCGGGCAGCGAGGCCCTGGTCCCCCTGAGCCTCAGGAGGGAAACACGGTGCCTGGCGAGTGGCCATGGCAGGCCAGCGTGAGGAGGCAGGGCATCCACATCTGCAGTGGGTCCCTGGTGGCAGACACCTGGGTCCTCACTGCAGCCCACTGCTTTGAAAAGTGAGTCATGGCTGCAGTCAAAAGATTTCTGGCATTGGGGTGGGTGATTTGTCCCCAAGCCCTGCAAGACTGAGCCCTGCCCCTAGAGTAACAACCTACCATTTATTTAAAATGTGCCACATGCCGGGAACACACTATCAGATTAATGTCAAACTTCCGTGGTAGAAGTCTTACAAATGTGACAGCTGAGGCTGGGAGGATGGCCCTTGTTCAAAGCCACAGTTTGTCCGTCTGTCACCTCCTTGTGCTGTCTCCTACGGTGTCATTGTCTCTGTTGGCACTCAGTGTTTGGGTCTTATCCCCTCTCCCCCTTCCAGGGAGGCAATGACAGAACTGAACTCCTGGTCAGTTGTCCTGGGTTCTCTGCAGCATGAAGGTCTGAGCCCAGGGGCTGAGGAGGTGGGGGTAACAGCTCTGCAGCTGCCCAGGGCCTACAACCACTACAGCCAGGGTTCAGACCTGGCCCTGCTCCGGCTCGCCCACCCCGTGGCCCACACACCTCTCTGCTTGCCCCGACCTGCCCATCGCTTCCCCTTTGGGACTTCCTGCTGGGCCACTGGCTGGGATCAGGACACCAATGAAGGTAAGTGCTGGCCTGAAGCCCAGAGAGGTACTTGGCTTGCCCAAGGTCACAGAGCCTCAGCTGCTAACTGTTCCCATTCCCCATCTCCCTTGCTCCTCTGGGCCCAGACTTTGGCCCCAACCCCCTCTCTTTTGCCAGCTCCCAGGACCCTACGGAATCTGCGCCTGCGTCTAATCAGCCGCCCCACGTGTAACTGTCTCTACAACCGCCTACACCAGCGGTCACTGGCCAGTCCGGCCCGGCCCGGGATGCTGTGTGGGGGTCCCCAGCCTGGGATGCAGGGGCCCTGTCAGGTCTGGGGGGGGAGGATAGGGGAAGGGAAAAAAAAAGAGGAGGGGGCCTGCCATAGGCTGGACACTCAATCCACAGGGATGGGTGGAAGGGCGGCCCACAGCGGGTGTCTACCCAGGGCTGGGGCTCAGATGTCTGTCTCTGACAACACTGCCCATTTCAGGGAGATTCCGGGGGTCCTGTGCTGTGCCGCGAACCTGATGGACACTGGGTTCAAGCTGGGATCATCAGTTTTGCATCAAGCTGTGCCCGGGAAGACACTCCTGTGCTGCTGACCAACATGGCTGCTCACAGCTCCTGGTTGCAGGCTCGAGCTCAGGGGGCAGCCTTCCTAACCCAGAACCCAGAGACCCCGGAGATCAGTGATGAGGACAGCTGTGTAGGTATGAGCAGCGGGTGTCAGGAGTGGGATGCGGGGGAACCTCCCCCTGGGCTGCATGAGGACTTCTGGGCAGCAGAGGTGGGAGCCACAGTGGAATAAATTTCAGTTCAGAATAGAAAACTGACTAACGAGGCATCCACACACTGCCACGGGCTAACAAGGGGATTTAAAGGACCCTTTCAGACCAGGATGGGAACAGCTCCATTTATGTCTGAGACATAGACACTTCAGAACTTTATGCATTTGGGTTCAGGTAAGAAGAGGAATTTCTGGTACCTGGCTGAAGGTCTGGGGGGGTTAGATGCAAATTTCCAAGCAGAGACTCCACAAGATTGGAGAGGGCAGGGTTCCCACTCAGTAGGGCGTGAATTCTGGCGTTAAGTGACTAACATGCAAATAGCATGCAAAATAATTCCTGGGATGGAAGCTCTATCTTGATGGGAAGAGACGCATCAGTGAGCCAGGAGTTCTGGGGCCATTCCAAGCCCAGAGGGGTGCAGACAGGCGGGGTAGAGGAATGATGAGTGGGCCACTCCCATGATGCTGGACCATCAGGGTTAAAGCTTAGACCCTGGGTTTTGAATCCCAAGTTGGCTACTTGCCTGTGGTTACTGAGCTAGAAAGTCACTGAACCTCTGGAATGTCGGTTACTTCAGTAATGAAAATAACAAAGATTCAGCTTAAAAGGATAATGTAAGGATATTCAATAGCACACAGGAAGCTCTTAGCGCAGGGCCTGGCATGCAGTGAGTGCTTAAAGGAGGCAGATGATGTAATGCATCTGTTTCAGCCTGTGGATCTCTGAGGAGAGAAGGCCCTCAGGCGGGAGCTCCCTCCCCGTGGCCCTGGGACGCTAGGCTGAAGCACCAAGGGAAGCTAGCTTGCGGTGGAGCCCTGGTGTCAGAGGAGGTGGTGCTGACTGCTGCCCACTGCTTCATTGGGTGAGCCCTAACTCCCTCGCCCTTGTGCCCCAACTTCTGACGGTGGCTCTGCCACCCAGTGCTCTCAATGCTGTCCTTGCACAGGCGCCAGACCCCAGAGGAATGGACGGTAGGCCTTGGGGTTGGCCCAGAGGAGTCGGGCCTGAAGCAAGTCATCCTGCATGGGGCGTATACCCACCCGGAGGGGGGCTATGACGTGGCCCTCCTGCTGTTGGCCCAGCCTGTAACCCTGGGCCCCAGCCTGCGGCCCCTCTGCCTGCCCTACTCGGACCACCACCTGCCTGATGGGGAACGCGGCTGGGTCCTAGGGCTGGCCCGCCAAGGAGCAGGTGTGTGGACAGGAGAGGGCGCCCAGCAGCTGGGCATGCAGCCTGGAGGCTGAGGTAGCAGCTGGGTCTTCTCCCTCACCCTGCAGACACCAGCTACCCTCAGACAGTGCCTGTGACCCTCCTGGGGCCCAGGGCCTGTAGCCGCCTGCATGCAGCCCTCGGGAGCACTAGCATTCTGCCGGGGATGGTGTGTACCAGTGTTGTGGGCGAGCCGCCCGGCTGTGAGGTGAGCCCCACTCCCCTAACGTCACCCCACAGGCCCCTCCCACTCACAGCTTGACCTCTCACCTGTAACCTTTCTGCCAACTGACTCCCAAAGAGCCAGACCCCCAGCCCCGGCCCCTCCTGCCCCATGCAGCCGCTTAGGGAGAAGAGGAAGTCACAAAGCAGAGTCCCCTGACCTGACCCCTTTCAGGGCCTGTCGGGGGCACCGCTGGTGCACGAGGTGAGGGGCACATGGTTCCTGGCTGGGCTGCACAGCTTCGGAGATGCCTGCCAAGGCCCCGCAAGACCTGCTGTCTTTGCAGCACTCCCCACCTATGAGAACTGGGTCAGCAGTTTGGACTGGCAGGTCTACTTCGCTGAGGAGCCCGAGCCCGAGCCTGAGCCCAGAAGCTGCGCGGCTAACATGAGTACGTGGCCCCGGGGGCTCCTGCCAACACCTGCCTCCGCAGACCCCTTCTCTGCCGGCCTGGGGCCGTCTGTCCCCAGCCACCTCCAGCTGCGGCGGGTGGAGCCGTGGACGGAGTCATGGGGATTCAAGTACTGGCTCTTGTCATTGACTGGTTAGGAGCACACCTCTCAACCTGTGCGGCCCTCACTTTTCTCATCTGTCATAGGGACTCAGGGGCACCTCCTTCCTCTTCCTTTGAGGGAGGGAGGGAAGCTGTGAGCTCGAGACCAACCCCACCCTCCTTCCTCTTCCTGACAGGCCAGCCAACCAACTGCTGACAGGTGGCTCTGGGACGCTGCAGTCACAGCAAGGCAACTCCCACAAAATTGCTTCTCTCCCATCCAGCCCCCTGCCTTTCCCAGGCAGGTACGACAGCGCAAAGGGCCCTGGGAGGGAACCTGCCCTGAAAGCTCCACCCTGCAGAACAGGGAGATGTCACCCGTGGATGCCCCCCATCCAGCTCTGCAGTCCAACACAGGCGTCCCAAGCTTTTCCTATTCTTCATCCCTTCAGATCCAATGACACCAGCCAAGTACTTGGAAAATTTCTTTTTTTGGGGGGAGCAATTTTCCTGTTTTTTTAAACTTAAATAAATTGTTACAAAATAGACTTTAGAAAATAAGTTACAAATTGTAGTAAAAGGCTCCCTATCCACAGGCAACATTTCCACCTGTGGGGGCGCTCTCTGAATCTGCCTCTCCCTGATGTTGCAATCTGGCTGGTAAGGGTGGCCCAGCATCGTGGTCAAGCCGGGCACTGGGTTTCTTGGTGGGGCTGGTCATAGGAAAGAACCTGGTGACAAAAGCTGGGCAAAGGAGGTCCCTCAAGGACAGGACAGAAGGAACATCTCACCCCCTCCTTGGGAAAGAAGCCAGATCTGGGTCCTCTTCGAAGGAGGAGAGGAGAAAAGAGCTGGGGACGCCCAAACTACTCCTGAGCAAAACAAGGAGATCAAGCCTTTCCCTGCAACTCGCCCTGCACACACCCCCCCCACCCCCCCCCGCCCCATATTCTGATCTTTGGAGACTGGAACTTCAGAGGGAGAAGCTGAGGTCTGCAGGCCACGGGGGTGAAGGGTCCAGGAGTGGGGCCGTGGGGGTGGGTGGAGGAGGCAATGACAAGTCCCCTCTGCCCACCGCTGGTGCCTTTGGGGTTCCTGGGGAGAGAGAGAGGAGGTGACTGAGGGGGCAAACCCCACACAGCATGTACCCTGCTCCCTACCCCGAAGGCCATACCCCACAGTCCTGTATGTGAATTCCCAATTATTTTCCCAGACCTGGCTAATTAGCTCCTTGCTCATTCCCTTGGGGGCCACAAGAAATCTTTTATTCTAGTATATGTGCTGCTGAAGCAAGCACATGAAATCTTTTATTCTAAAAGCCACATTGTCAGCACTCTCAGGGGAATCTCACCGCTGTCCCCCCCTGCCCTGATGATCCCTGGTCAAGGCGATCATCCACTCTCTCAGGGACACCCATGCACTAGATGGAAGGGGTCTTGGGATAAGGGCTACAGGCTCCTAGAGGAGGTGGAGAGTGAGCCTGCAACTTGCAGAGACAACCAACCCTCCCATTCCTCCACAAGTCTGGGCGGAGGTGACTTTCCATGAAGATTCCCCTGATAAAGGACGGGAGATAGAGGCTAATGACTGTTGTTGCCACAGCTGGGCCTGGCTTCAAAGAAACAATTATCTGTGACTCAGTCCTCCAGTTAAAGGTGTGCTGGCGGGGACGGGGGTGTGCAGGTGGAAAGGGTGGTTTGGTTGGATCCCAAAAAGGAAATGCACAGCACAGAGAGAAGGATGAATAAAGGGAAGAAGAGACGTGGACCAACATGGGTGGGCAAGGGCCAAGGGTCTAGTTTCCAAGAAAAGGGGAGGGGGAGCAGAAACAAGATATGGGGAAAGAGGGACAGGGTGCTAAGTGCCAACAAGTGACCTGGTTTCCCAGAACAAGTCAGCATGGAAGCCACAAAGCAGTCCAGTCCGGGGGTGCCTCCTATGCCCCGTTCCTCATTCCCGGGATCCTGGCCTACTCTAAGGAAGAGCTGAACTGAGACTATCTTTTTCTCCGGAAATCATTACTTAACAGGCTGGATCAGAAGGGTTTCCAGAGGTACCTATAGTAGCCAGATGGTAGCTGGCTACCAGTCCTCCCCAGACAGAAAGACCATTCCTCTTTGGCACAGCAGGGGAGCCCTAGCAGCTGCCTTGGCTCCGACCCTGCCACCCGGGCACTGCACCAACCCACGATGCTCCCTACTTACCTGACTCATGTGGTCAGATCTCAGCCACTCAAAAGGCAGCATCCTCAACCTAGCTTTCTCCCTATCCCAGCCTGGGCCGCCTCCTGGAGTCCCCATGATCCTCTCACTCCTTGCTTTCCTGCCCACCACGGGGCCAGTGTTTACCCTCCACTGTGTGCCCACCTCCTCCAAGACCCTTCAGCCCTCTGCCCAAGCCTGCTGGTGCCCCCGTACCGGAGCTGGCCACTGTCCACTCTTCCTGGTGCTGCTGCTCGTGCTGCAGGAAGCTGATGCGACGGCGGAAATGGCGGGGACAGTGGGGGCAGGAGAAAGGCCCCTCCCGGGGTGCGTGGACCCGCCCGTGGCCCTCCAGCCGGGCTGCTGTCCGAAAGGCCTTGCCACAGATGCTGCAGCGATGGCGCTTGGGGTCCGTGTGGGTCCTGCCATGGTTCTTAAGGGACAGCAGGTTGGGAAGAAGTTTGGGACAGAGGGAGCAGGGGTAGAGTCCCGTAGTGTGAGCCTTCTGGTGGTTCAACAGGCTACCGGCATGGCGGTAGGAACGCCCACACTGGGCACAGCGGAAGGGCCGCTCCTCGTGCACAGCCACCGCGGACTCGACACCCTGGCCTCCATTAGCTCTCCCCACATTCTCACCTGGGGCCCTGGGGAGTTCTGATGGGGCTTTCCCTTGACCAGGGAGTTCCACCTCCTCCTCCTCAGCCCCCACTTTGGGACTTCTGGCCTCGACCTGGGGTGACACCTGACTGAGGTCCCTGGTATGAGTCTGCAGGTGGCTGGCGAGTTCATGGTGGGACTCAAAGGCCTCGCCACAATCATGGCAGGAGAAGGTCTGGGCACGTATGTGGTTGCGGCTGTGGCTCTTAGTGGCCTCAGGATTCAAGAACTCCTTGGAGCAGAGCAGGCAATAGTGACGGTCAGTCTTGTGGGTGCTGTGATGGCTCAAGGGGCCCTCTGACTGGCAGGAGATCTTGCCACAATGGCTGCAGGAAAAGGAGTGGCTCTCTGGCTGGGGCTGAGGGCCACAGTCTCCACTGTCCCAGCTGTCCACCGGAGTCAGACTAGGTCCATTGGGCTGGGTGTTGCCAAAGGGACAAGGACTTCTGGGGACACTGTCCCCTGGTTCGTCTTCTGGCTTGGTCAGTACGTGGCGCCCAGGAACCCAATCTCCATCATGATTCTCCGGTCCCTGGTCTCCTCGCCACCCATCTGCTTCCCCCATGCCCCAGGATGCTGGCTCTGTGGCTTCTAAACCCGCTGCCCTGATGGGGCTCTGACTTGGCTCCGCTGGCCTTGTGGCTCCATCCTCCAGCTGAGGTGCCGACTCAGTACCACCCGATCTGTCCTCCAGTGCCTGGTTGTCAGCCAGGTTCCCCTGACCACCCTCTGTGCCGTCTGGGCCTCCTTGACCACCTCTGGTCTCGTCCTCGTGCTCTCGCAGGTGCCGTTCCAGGGACCCCCGGCCAGGGAAGCCCCGACCGCAGAGGGCACAGCGCACAGCTGCCCGCCGGGACAGCCCGGCCCGCCGCCGCCGGCTCTCCGAGTGCAGCCTCTGGTGGTCCCTGAGGGCCATGCGGTTGGAGTAGGTCTTGGGGCAGGTGGGGCAGCTGTACTGGCCTGTCTCATGGCTGCGCCGGTGGTTCAGGAGGCTGCCCGCGTGACGGTAGGTCCGTCCACACTGCCCGCAGCGAAAGGGCCGATCTTCCCGGGACAGCTTGTGGGAGCCACCACCTCCACTACGCTCCAGGTGGACCCGCTGGTGGCTGGCCAGCTGCTTCCGCAGGCGGAAGGCCTTCCCACACTCAGCACAGCGGAAACGCCGGGGATCGGCGTGGATGCGCCGGTGGTTCTTAAGGGACATGAGGTTGGAGAAGCCTTTGGAGCAGGCCTGGCAGCCAAAGTGGCCGGTCTGGTGGCTCTGCCGGTGATTGATGAGGCTGCCGGCGTGCTTGTAGGAGCGGCCGCACACCTCACAGCTGAAGGGCCGCTCAGAGCTGGCTTCTGTCTGGCAGCCTTTCTCCGCTGTCTCCAACCTTGGCTCCATCTCCTCCCCCTTCACAGTCGTCTCCTCCCAGGCCTCTTCTTTCACTCTCGCCCCCTCCTCCAGGGGCTCAACTTTAAGTTCTTTCTGGAACCTCTCCACTTCAGCCTGCTCGAGGCCCTCTTCTGCCAGTGTTTGGGCTTCACTGTTGGTTTTTGCCTCTGAGACGAGCCCCACCTGGGGCTCTGAGCCTTTGCAGCGTGGGTGGTTTCGCAAGTGATTGCGGTAGGCAGCCAGGTTGGGGTAGCAGCGGGAGCAGACAGGGCAGACGAATTCCCCAGTCTGGTGTATCTTGCGGTGGTTCACCAGGCTGCCCCCATGCCGATAGGTCTTGCCGCACTGGTTGCAGCGGAAGGGGCGGGGCTGGGTCTCCAGAGAACTTTCCTCACCCTGCCGGCAAAGGCTGTCAGCAAGCGTGTCACCTACACCCTCACTCGGCTTTGTGTCCCCACCCTCTGCAGGGAGAGAGGTCACCATGCCCTCAAAGACACCGTCTGCCACCACCACCGTGGCATCACCTGACTCTGCTGGGTGATGCATGAGACTGGGAACCTCATCAGTGGTGTTCCCGGAATTCCGGCTTTGATGGTGACGCTCCAGGCTCCCCAGGTCATCGTAGGTCTGACCGCAGCAGCCACAAATATGGCCATACCCAGCGCCATCCAGCGCTTCCACCTCCCGCTGCAGCTGATTCAGCAGCTCGGCTTCTGAGAGCTGCAGTGGCGGGCTGTGGATGGAGATTGCCCCTGAAGCTCCTTCCTCCTCCCCCTCCTCTTCCGAGCCCTCAGTCATGCCAGAGTCATGAGCCTGGCGCCGGTGAAGCCTGTAGCCAGCCCGCCCAGGGAAGATCATGCCACAGAGGCAACAGAGGAAAGGCTGGGTTGAGACGGCCTCCCCAGGCCCATGGTTCTGGAAGTGGCTGCGCAGGGCAGGCAGGGAGTCAAATTCCTTTGGGCAAAGGGAGCACTGATAGAT